ATTTCTAATTTCCTACAGTGGATTTTTGAAATCAGGAAAGTGAGTTATTTTTAGAAATAAAGCAGTTCAGTGGTACCTGAGTGGCTCAGTCATTTAAGTGTCTGACTCTTGATTTTGGCTCCGGTCATGATCTCAGGGCTGTGAGATCAAATCCTACATCAGGCTCCACACTCTGTGGGGAGTCTGCCTGGATTCTCCCTCTCCCTCTGTCCCCCCCCCGCCCCATTCTACAAGCTCCCCCCACAAAAAGAAACAATAAATAAGTCTTTAAAAAGGGGTACTTCATTGAGCATGCACATCTTTGCCTCAAATACCAATAAAACTGAACAAAAGAAATGGCTTAGAGAAATGATTGATCTATATAGGTAGATAAGTAAGCCTAGACCATCTTGAGTGCCAGAATGTAAGGGAAGTGCTCAATAGACAAAACCATGGAGTGTGTCAGCAGTACTTGGGAGCCAACTGGAGGAGCCCTTAGTGATTTCAGCAATAAAATAAATAATATAGTATTATATCCCGAAGTAAAAAATATCCAGGAGTCCATACTGACATTGATTGAATAATAAATGGATGAGAATAGAGAAAGCTCCTATGCAGAATTCCTAATAATTTATATAGATAGTCTACTTTTGGGAGATGGACTATAATTCCCATTCCTTAAGTAAAATATGGGTTGCACTTTGTGACTTTCTTCCAAAGTATGCAGTGTGGAAAGGGGATAAGAAACAGTAACTTTCCTGTGGAGAAACTTGACCTCAAGGTCAGCATTAACAATGTTAAGTCATGTTATGACAGTATTATATGATGAAAATGGCACTGTACCCCTTGGTCTTCCTCCCAAGAGCCCATTACCATAGTCTAAGCATGAGAAAGACATTAGACATGCCAAATTGAGGGATAGTCTACAGAATACCTGACCAGTATTCTTTAAGTCTGCAAGGTCATTAGAAACAAGGAAAGTCTGAGGAACTGTTAAAATGTAGAAGATCCAAAGGATATGATCACCAAATGTGGTATCCTGGAGAAGATTCTGGAACAGAAAAAGGACAAAACTAAGGAAATAAGTATGAACTTCAGTTAATAATAACATATCAACTTTGGCTCCATATTTATGACAGATATGTCTTAGCAATAAAAGATGTTAACAGTAGGAGAAACATTTTTTTAAAACTCAAACTATTCTAAAGTTAATTTGCTTTAAAAAAAAATAATTGAATAATTCACCACTCTTATTTTTTAAAAGTTTTGAGTAACATTGGACATGTTCCGTGGGATAAGTTTGCAATTTCTGACATTTATTTTTTGACTCATTTTTCTCAAAGTATGAAACTCCTTGCATAATAAAGATTGACTTTTCATTCAGAGGACCCTTTGATGTGCAGCGTTCTGTGGTTCATTCTGGGTACAGAATTTTCCAGTGAGATTTCAGGGTAGGAGTCTTAATATATATAAGGAGACAAGTAATCTGAAGAGTCATGAATTTATGTATATTTCCCTTTCTCATGTAAACATAAATGTGTATATTATAAATTGCCTTGTAAGTATTTGACATGCATAAAGGCATTGTGTTGGTGAAAGTAGTAGGTGGGAACAAGTGGTCATCTCTTGGCCTTGGCTGTTTGACACCCACTTGCTCATTGTAGACCTGGACACCAGGCCGAAGTGGTGCAGGGCAGTCTCTCCTTTCAAGGAATCAGTCCAGAAACACTTGAGCCAGGGACCGTACCCACAGCACACTCCCCTCACATGTAACGAGTATAGTCAGATATGGACACTGAGTTTAATGGCATGGAGATGGGAGTGATCACCAACTGCCAGCCCTTTTTAGATGTTAGTGAAACGGATTTATTGAGATATGTCAAAAGAAATGCTGCATCTCGTGGTGGCTCAGGCATGCGTCCAACTCAGGTCTTGATCTTAGGGTCATGAGTCCACTGGGTGTGGAGCTTGCTTAGAAAAAAAACACTACATCTCATATGTAAATGGGCAAAACAAGATGATTTAAGGTTAGTTTTCTTGTGTGGCCAGTAATAAAATTATTATGCAAGCTATAAAGTCTTAAAGAGAATGGGATAATAGTTTTAAAATATTTTAAGTGATAAAACCTTTCAAATGTCTTACCACACTTGGAAGAAATAAAACAGGAACAGCTAAAACTTCTCCTTTTCTTTCCCATTGTCCTGATACTAATATGTATCATTTCCTAGCATTTTTTCAAGCCTTTACTATGTGTGTGTGTATGTGTACACATATATATATATATTTAAAAACAGCACATAACTGTTTTGGTATTTTCACAATTTATTTAAATGATATACCAAACAAATATTTCTGTTGCTTTTTCTTTTCACTGATCATTATTGACATTGGTTCATGGTGATAAGTATACATCTCGTTCTTTCATTTTAGGCACAGTATAATGTTCCCTTATATGAAAATAAACCATTTAATTTCCATATTCCTTTGGGAAAACACTGTTTGTGAGTTGCGTCTTTTTTTTTTTTAACTGTTCATGGCTGCAGTGATGATTCTTTTATGTGTGCCCTTGTGAACACGTATGAGAGTATCTTTAGGTAGCCCCCTAGAACTAGAATACAAGGTCACAGATGTGTGGTTCTTCAGTCTTAACAGAATTACTCTTCAGAGTGTTTGTACTTAAATACATTCAATTTGTTCATTTCCATTTCTGCACATCTACAAAAATGGCATTATCGGACTTATCTTTGTCAGGCTTGTGAGTGCGATGCATTTTTCTGCTTATTAATGAAAATTGTACATCTTCCGGATAATTTATGTTTGAATTTATGGGAATTCTTTCAAGAATTGCACATTTATTGCCTTTAAATGGCCTGGTGTTTTTGTTTGTTTGTTTTAATTTTATTTATTTATTCATAGAGACACAGAGAGAGAGAGAGAGAGAGAGAGAGAGAGAGGCAGAGACACAGGCAGAGGGAGAAGCAGGCTCCATGCAGAGAGCCTGACGTGGTTCTCGATCCAGGGTCTCCAGGATCACGCCCAGATCACGCCCTGGGCTGCAGGCGGCGTTAAACCGCTGCTCCACTGGGGCTGCCCTGGCCTGGTGTTTCTTGAGGTAAAAGGCCCTTCACTGGCCTTGGATCTGATGCCTCAGGACATGTAATAAAAGCTAATACTGTTGCACCCATCATAAAGTTGAAGATGAGTTAGTGAGTTAGACCTGGCCTATTTGTCATATTTACTTATGCCTTTTTACTTTGTTTTGTGCTTCATTATTCCATGTCTCCTATTGTTGTGAAGAGTTCAGATAAGTTCCCTGATTTGTTAAGCTTCTACTTAAATATTTGACAAAAATTTCTTTCACAAAGTACATTTACAGGGCACCTGGCTGGCTCATTTGGTAGAGCATGCAACTCTTGGTCTCTGGGTTGTGAGTTAAGCCCATGTGGAGTATAGAGATTAATTAAAAATCTTAAAAATAAAAATTAAGTTAAAAGATAAACATAATTTTACCATACATCCAGCAGTTGTGCTCTTAGGTATTTGCCCAAAAGATGAAAACTCCTATGTATACAAAAAGCTGCACACATGTGTTTATAGCAACTTTATTTATACTAGTCAAAAAATATGGAAACAGCCAAGATATCCTTCAGTTGGTGAATGGATAAACAAATTGTGGTACATGTAGACAATGGAATATTATTTGGTGATAAGAAAAGAGTTACCAAACCATGAAAAAACGTGAAGGAACTTTTAAATGCATATGGCTAAATGAAAGAAACCAGCCGTAAAAGGCTATGTACTATGATTTCAACTACATGACATTCTGGAAAAGGCAAAACGGTGGAGACAGTAAAAGAATCACTGGTTGCCGGGGATTAATGCGGGGGGTGAATACACAGAGCGTGGAGGGTATTTCAGGCGAGGAAATTATCCTTTATGATTTGTCATGGTGGATGCATGACATTATGCATTGTCAGAACACACAAAATTGTGTAACAAGAACAGTGAACCCTAGTGTAAACTGTCAACTTCTTCATAACGATGTATCCATTTTGGTTCACATTTGTGTAACAGATCTTCCACACTGAGACAAGATGTGGGAACTGGGAGGGGGAGATGATGACTAAGTTGTGACACTAAGGGGGAACTGGGTGCAGGGGCAAGGAGATAAACCTAAAAGTGCGCTCTAAGTGCCTCTTCAAAAAAAGTCTATTCGTTTTTAAAAATACTTCATTCAGTTCAGATTTTACCGAGTGTAACCAATTATGCGAAACCAATGTTTGAAACTTTTTAAAGATTATTAATTAACCATTTTATTTATAAAATCTAAATTGTGGATGCTTTTCAGGACTACTTCCCTTTTCTGTGGATGTGTAAATAACAGGAATAAGTTCATGTTAAAATTATTTAGTTTCTTTTTTGCTTTCTTTTAAGATTTTATTTGCGAGAGAGAGAGAGAGAGAGAGAGAGAGAGCGTGAGCACACACAAGTGGAGAGGGGTTGAGGGATTAGGAGAAGCGGACTCCCTGCTGAGCAAGGAGCCCTATGTGGGGCTCCATCCCAGTACCCTGGGATCATGACCTGAGCCAAAGGCAGATGCTTAAGCAGCTGAACCACCCAGGCACTCTCCTTTTTGCCTTAAGAAATAGAATAGTATAGTGTATTGATTTTGTACATTTTTTTCTGTGTATGGTTAAATTTAGAGCAAAGATTTTGTATATTACTATATTAAAAATCTTTCCAAATACTGTAATAGCCAAAGTAATCTGAGATGTTTGTCATGATTCTAATAAATTTTCTATAATAGAAAATACTTAATTTTATTGATCCTAGGATATCTCTTCTAGGACACTTTAGCCTCTGAAATCAATACGTCTCTTACAATCACTAACATCTTAGATACAGTGGAACAGGACGTCTCATAAGGCTTCCAGGGAAGGAATTTCATAATTGTTGCAGAAACCCTATAATTCTTTAAATGATGTTACAGGACCATTCTGACTCTCACACATGTCTTTCAGGTGCTCTCTGTGTGGGTATGTATGCAGCCATCCTCCTTCTTTGAAGTCTCACATGTGGAAGCATGCGAGTGACCAAAATTACAACTATGAACAAGTGAACAAGGCAATCAATGATGCCATTTCACAGAGTGGCAGGTACCTGATGCTACCCCTTCCCTTATATATGTAAACGAAAGTTAGGGTTAAACCTGCTAGTCTTATAACCAATTCAGGATTTGGTGTGTTTTGTTTTATTTTTAAGAGTTCTGGGGAGGTCCCCTGCAAAGACGCTCTTAAACAGCAGTGAGGAAAGAGCCGATCCTGTCACTGGAAGTTCGGAAAATTTGATATCCTCCTCAGAGCTGATTTCCCAGGCTCCTGGCGAAGTTGTAGGTTCCAACGACAATGAGAAACTGAGCCCTACAAGTAATACCTCGTACAGTTTAGAAAAAAACTCCAGTCTGGCCCCTCCCAGTATGGAGTATTGTGTTCTACTCTTCTGTTGTTGTATTTGTGGCTTCGAATCTACCAGCAAAGAAAATCTCCTGGATCATATGAAAGAGCATGAGGGTGAGATCGTAAACATCATCCTAAACAAAGACCACAACACTGCTTTAAACACAAATTAGATTGAATACTTGAAGAGGAACATGGTAGAAGAGAAATCCTTTAAAGCACGGTTTCACCTTTGCGCTATCAAATAACTTGCTAGGCACAGAAAAAATAGTTGGTGTGGTGTTTGGGTTTTGGGGTTTTTGTTTTGTTTTTGTTTTGTTTTTTTTTGTTTTTGAGGAAGAGACGCATGTGACTTTGGAACCAAATTTGCAGTGTAATAAAAAAAATTCCTAATGTTTACTCGGTAATGATATTTAAAGATTCTGAGTGAAGGAAGTGGGTTGAGGAGGAAGCAAAGATGTAACCCTGTGTTAGCCCTGTTTCCTCTTCTTAGTGTTGAGTGTATTTATTATTCAAAGCTTATCATAGTGTAGAAGTGCAAGCAAAAGAATTAAGAAAGAGCTTTTCCAGAACTATTCTAAACCTTCTTGTTACAAAAGTGTCACAGTCTTAAGCAAAGCTAGTTTTCTCCATCACTCTGAGCTTGGACATGCCAACTCTAGAGAGACGGGCCCCTTGTGTGGGCTGAGAGGCCACTCTCTGAGGGGTTTTCACGATCACCAACAGAGTCAACAAGGAAAAGATCACCAGAGGGCTTTGAAATGATCTACCTAATAAACCTTTCTCCAGATCCGTAGGAATTAATCATATACTCAATCTAAGATACATTACTTCTTAAAAAAAGAGACCTCGGAATCCAAATCCAGATTGTAAATAGGCATTTAGGAAGTAAATTAGTGTGTTAAGTTTACAGTGAATTTCTTGTGGGCAAAGGAGAAAATAGTTGAATTCCCACCAGCCTCAAACCAAATCGGAAGGTTCGTGAGGATGGGGACTCCTTTGGCACAGCACATTTCCCAGAGGCTCTTTGCAAGTGTTTGACAGAACACTGCAATTTTCTCCGCAGCTACACAGGCTTCATAATCCCGTCTCCTACACTAGACCAAGCGTGTTACCGCAAAGGTCTATTCAACCAACACAGTATGAAATTTTGCATTTGATCATCAGACCTTGGAAATACTTGGCTCTCTCTTAAATAAAAATCATTTGAGGGAAGAGGGGAGAAATTCAAAAGCCCCTTAAAATGAGTACTGCTGTTGAGATTTTACTTCCTGGAGTTTATCAATCTAGTTGTACTTAGCATAAGAGGTATAATCAGATGTGGCTAAATTATAGTAAAAATTCAGGTTGTTTATAAAGCTTTTGATAACCAACAACATTTGGCAAGGCTGCAGGGTTTCTCCCGTGTAGAGTATTCCATCCTGTTAGTGCGCGGTGGGACGTGCAGAGAGTTAACTACCAGTGCTTCCACATTAAAACTCGCCATCAAATAGATGTCATCTTCTCATTAATTCCGCATTCTGCATTATAAATGTATTTCAAAGTGAAGAGAGCAGGGATGTTTTTATTTTTGTTTTGGCTTTTGTAGTACTGATCATTTATTTTTGCATCATTCTGTCAAAGTAAATCCTGCGTACAAGTCTAAAGGCCCGTGCGCCACGCAGTGCACCATCTTCACGGTGCTCTTTCCGAACCTGATGTCTAACACCTTCCACTGCTGAGGCTGTAGACTCTGGTAATCAAACTCAGAAGACATTGAAAACAGAATTTTTTGAATGGAATACTCTACAGACACATTTTAGGAAGGAATTCCCTTCCTGAAGTCCAGGTGTGGATTGAATAAATTAATAATACTTTTAAGATAGCATCAGGAACTCCTTAGGTGGGGCCAGGCCATCTTGAAACTTGAAATTGTTTAATTTTTTTTTAATCTCATTTTGATGATGATATTTAAGGAGACGGAATTGACCGTAACTTTGCAGCTGTTTGATTTAGGTAGCTTTAATTTATTTATGAGAGTTACTCTGTTTCTGATAAGTGGTCTTTAAAAAGATAAAATGAATTTATATATATATTATATATATATATATATATATAAATTATATTATCCAGATTCACTGCATGTGGATTTATATGTTTTCTTGTTTTCAGAATTAAAACACAATTATATTTCATTTCAAATTTAAATAAATATTCTAAATAGTTCCATTTTTATCACTCACTCTGAAAATTAACAACCTTTAGTAGCAGGATTTTGTTTTATAAAGTTTCCTTGGTTTTAATTGCATGTAATCATTTAGAAAATATTAATAACCAAAAAAATCCCAAAAACATCAATAGTGAATTTTTAAATTACCTTCAGTTCCCTAAACGACTTCTTTTGATTCTAAAATTTTCCATTTAGAATCATGGACTTAAAATTTACCTAACTCATGAGGAAAATATTAACCCAGAAGTTCAAAACCTTTCAGTGTTCGTCTGATTCTACGCTAAAATATCCCTAAACTCCTCTACGGCTAAAGGAGGAACCATATACCATGGACCTTCTGTACCTTCTGGTTGCCATTTAGCGGCAAGCCTTAAGTGAACAGTGTCTCTACCAAGAACAATTGAACATTTCTCAAAGTAATAATGAAGGCTAAGTATGCAAGTTTAGTTGTAGAAGAGATAGGTATTAACAAAAATCAGCAGGAATTCTCTTGATAGGCATAACGTTTTACTTACTGGTAGTAGATCTTTTGCCCTGTAAAGCTCATAGTATTTGCTTTCTACTCAAACACTTTATGGTTCTAAGATTTGATAGTAAAAATAGTTTTTAAAAGAAACATACTGGATGTGAGGCCAAGGTGCGGAGGGGGCAAGACGACGCATTCTGATCGTCACAAGTAATACTTTTCCAGGGGGCCAACATTTTCTCTCCTCCTCTGATAGCCTAGAACATGGTTGGTGGCCCCAGCGTTCTCATGGCGGCTGCGTGCGGACTTCAGTTCTGTGTCCAGCCAGTGCAGTGTGGGGACACTGACAGAAGCCTTGTTCTAGATCTCTCATACTATTCAAGGTAGCTGTTGGTGGCTTTGTTATTTTCTCCATCTTTTCTCACAAAGCAGATGGTGGGCACCCATGTTTACATTGTATCTTCCCACAATGTACTTGGCTTGACAAAGACAACAGGTTTCTCTATTGAGACTTATTATATTTTTAGTTTTCATAGACACTTATTTAATCTTTTTTTATTGTACAGCAAGGTGCTCTAAGTAATATTCTATAAAATATATTTAATAGAAATTTGAGTTTGATATTCATGGACATGAATACATGTATTTTTTTAAGAAATGAGTATTGTGTAACACTATGGCATTGCTTCTATAGCCAAAGTCTAAAAATTTCTGGAACACTGACATGTAAAGACTACAGTTAATTCTGACACTGTATCTTATTAAAATAGGATGATTTGCATTTTGTAAAATTATCCTGCACATCAAGCTGCATGCCTTAAAGCCTAAAACTCTAGGATTGTGTTCATGGTAGAACAGTTTATCTGTTCAACAAACAGTGAAGCAAGGTCTATAGTGCTTCTTTAACTACCTTTGGAAATACTGTACAATGTTAGAATAATTTATTTTGCTTTACAGGAGTTTGTCATGTATTGACTTTAATATTGTATTTTGGTAATAAATTTTTTGTTAAAAACATTGGCCTCTATGTTTTATTACCAAAGGTTCTGTCTGTGTTTTTTTCTTAGGAATGCTGACTTTGATCACCTGGAAAGTTAGGCTTAAATACCGACGAACTTCCCAAGGCCTGAATTTACAATTATGCCTTAGGATTACCCTTCGGTAACTTGTTTAAATTATTTCCAACTAGCATTAAACCCTATTACACAAAAATAATTGGAAAAGCACTTAGATCGTTCTAATCATTTTAAAAATCCAATCTAATTTTGAAGTGTTTTTTCCTTTCCCCTTGCTACACAGTTCTTCATTTTATGTTCCAGATCACCTTTTTTAGACACTTCCAGTTCTGATACAATGACCATTCCTGAAGCCCAGAGCTGTGTTAATGACAATTACTAGCATTCTGTATTGAAGGCCAGAAATTACAATGATGTGTTCACACCTGGGTCATTATGTGGTCTATAGCAGCTATTTTTTGAATTAGACTTGTTTGTTGCATTGACAAGTGAACCTGAACATCATTCAGCTGTACCCACTTGTGCCCCAGCAGTCCTGGGCCACCTCAACCTAACATGTCTGAGGCGAGATACTTCTTCCCAGTAGCTGTAATCCCTTGTCCTAGCTCCCTAGCGGCAACATAATTTCATCCCCTTTTAAGAAGCAAATGCCAATACTTTGTCACTAAACCAGATTCGTTGTGGACATCCCAGCATGGAGGTTCTAGAAGAGATGCACCTTGGTAGCCACTAGCCCCATGTGACTGTTGGGCACCTGAAATCTGACTAGTATGCTAGGAATGTACAACACACAACAGTTACGAAAACATAATACAAAAAAAGTAAAGTGTATTATTAATAGTTCTTATATGTTGAAATTATTTTTGGGGTTAAATAAGACTATTAAAATAATTTTACCTGTTTTTATTTTTCTAGTGTAGCTGCTAGTAAATTTTAGATTACACATGTGGCTAATGTAATTTTTGGATCGGACAGTGCTGGTCTAGACCAAACTACAGCCCTTGCTTCAATACCGTCCTGCCACTTGGTTTTGTAAATAAAGCCGTATCCATTGGTTTCCACATGGCACGTGGCTATTGTCAAGGTACAGCAGCGTCGAGTCGTTGTGACAGAGACCGTATGGCCCACAAAACCCAAAGTGCTTACTCTTTGTTTGTAGTAAATAGTTCCGGAGAAAAAGTTGGCTGACTTCTGAGCTGGAACAATGGTCTGATCCATGCTTTAGAGCTACCAGAAAAAAAGGAAAGAAAAAAAAAGCTTTTTATAGAGAAAGCTTTTTATAGCACTGTTTTCTAGCTAAATCGTATTATTTCTCCCTCTAATTTTTATAAAGTCTTCCTTTTCTTCCACAGCCCTTATCCATAATTAATGACTTTAACCTATTTCATCATCTCTGCTATTTAAAGCCACGCACAATTTGTTTAAAATAACAGTGCACGATTAAATAATGCTGCTATAAAAAGTATTATCTTGTTTTCGTCCTGACAGCCTTACAGTGTTGCCAGTACCCTTCCTACTCCACCCCTTCGATGCTGTGGGCACTTCGGCTGCTGGGTGGGGCAGGACCTCCTGCATGCCTGACTGGTGCACCGGGTAACCTGGTAACCGTGGGATCTAATCCACTCATCCTGGGGACAAGTGATTGAACAATCCAGGATATAGAGAAAATAGACTTTGACGCACCTCTTTGTGGTAGATAATCGTTGGTCTGAGTCTAAAGCCAAATTCAAGGAGGTTGTAGTTGGCCTTAGTGTAGATCTGTTCACTAAACTGGCAGAGAGAAGAAAAAGTCTCACAGTACTTTCCTTACTAGATTTCTTCTAAATCAGTCAGCAAAGATGTAAAATGAACATTTTCAGCCTTGTAAGTTCTTAGAAAAGTTTTTAATTGGCGGCGCATGACAGGCTTACTGAGGTAGTGTGGGTTGGCTTAGATCTCCAAATCCAAATGACTGTAAGTAACGTGGTTGACCCATTTCCAGAGTCCAACTGTGCAGCAAAACCCAGTTTGTATATTGTGTTGGAGACTAGACCTCATTTTCTGGTGGGACATTTTCCAGTTTGAACCATAAGTGTTTGTAAGATTATAACATACTTGGTTTTCTTGTCTACTTTTTTTGCCAATAATGGGTAATCCCTCCCTGTGTCTGGTTTGCTTACAATAGTAGATGATCATAGATCTTCCTTCAAATTAAAGAGTTTAATTTTAGGCGTCTAATATGAATTCTTACCATTACCTACCAAAATTTTCAAATGTTGCTCTCTTTTTTAATTTTTATTTATTTATGATAGTCACATACACAGAGAGAGAGAGAGGCAGAGACATAGGCAGAGGGAGAAGCAGGCTCCATGCACCGGGAGCCTGACGTGGGATTCGATCCCGGCTCGCCAGGATCGCGCCCTGGGCCAAAGGCAGGCGCCAAACCGCTGCGCCACCCAGCGATCCCTCTTTTTGCTTCCTAACTCAACCACATTTACACCGATTGCCACTTAATCCAGACAGTAAAGGCACCATTGCATAACAGTTGGCAAAACTGTAAGTTGGGGACTTCCACCATATTACTGAGGTACCTGGGTCCTTTGCTTGGAAAGGACAGTGCATGTTAGGTAGATGGAGTTGGACTTAACACAGATCAGAGGAAAATGAATCCTTGCCCATGAGCTCAGACTCCCCCTACTTAGTTTATCTTTCTGATTTCTCAGCTTTATCCCTTGTCAGAAAGAAAAACGAATACTTATCCATGTCATTCCCACGGATATCAGTGATAATGAAATAAGTTTTTTAATTATTAATCTTAAAAACTGTGACCTGAAGAGACCCTCAACGACATAAGCTATTCATTTTTCAGGTCTTTTATTAGTCCCTAATAGCGTTATTTAAAGACCTATTATCACTGCAGCACACGTCACCAGATTTTCCTATTTTCTACTTGTCATTTTATCAATTTTTGTATCTGTATTTCAGAAATAGTGTGGCTGCATTTTACCAGAATAGGCACATCAATCCACATTTTGCTCTTTTTGTTTATATCTGCAGTCCTATTTAAATTCAGTATTTCCAACCACAAAAGGTGTTAGAAAATTCTATTTCAGGCTCGAGAAAAAGTACAGCAGGACGTGGTTCAAATCTTAAGCTGTATTTATTTCTGATCTTCTTCTACAGCTACCATTGTACAAAAAATAAATAAAACAGTCATGCCGGAATAATTAAATAAACCAGTGGTTTCAAGGTTACCTTCATTGTTTTCAGCCCTTCTCTGGTGCGAAGCATGAGAACACAGTTGGTGAGGTAGTGTCTTTCTAGAATGCTGACCCCAGAGTCCATGCAGAGCATCCCCGGATAGGTCAAAAAATCTAAATTAAGGCTCTTCAGAAATCTGTGCCCAGCTGGAGCCACCTTGTGCTCAGTACGCAAATGCTGATAAAGCAGCTCCAGCGCACTGCGCTACCTGACAGTCTTCGAAACGAAACTTTGTAATAGGGGAAAAGAATAAGTGTGACTCTGCGTCGCGGGCAGGCAGGCAGTCACCTCGTCCCATCCGAAAGCCGGGGAGGAATGTCTGGGCGCCAGCCCGCCAGAGCCGCACGTGCACTGGGTACTGCTGCCTCCGCCGCTTTGCAACACAGCCTGGCTTTACCCTCTTTAATGTCTTACAAGTTCAGTTATTTCTGTTTTCTGAGACGTAAAGCTGCCGGTCTAATAGCTGCCTCGGGGAGTTAAGTGGCTCAGATGAGATCGTCTGTCACATAGTCAAGTCGTGACGCAGTCGTGGACGGAACGTGGCTCCAAGCCACGTGACCTGGAGTAAGACATTGCGCCTTTCCTGAGCCCCTGTCTCTTCATCAGTAGGACAGATGGTGATACTGCAACCTCGTTGGGTGGTTGTGAAGATGAGTAGCCACGTGCGTGCACAGCGGGCCTGGCCGTCTAGCAGCTGGACAGCGGTGCCTTCGGTTGGCGTGTTGACTGCGAGGCGGTCGGAGATCACAAGGCCCCTATAAGTCGCGGTAGCGAAGGTCCTTAGGGCAGCCCTGGAAGGGAACCTAGGAACAGGCTGGCTTGTGATTTGAGGAAGGCTACTCAAGACCTCCTGTCCCTTAAAATACACCCCACACAAGGCAAACCTGTTTCTCAGTACCTAGAATATTGCGGACAGTTCACGTCTCATCTAAAAAGGTAATAGTCATCCCAGGACTCAAGATGGCAAAGTGAGGACGTGGTTGGGTCCCCTGGCGCAGAATTCCAGTTTCCCGGCTGTGCGGACAACACGGGAGCCCAACACCTCTCTGTGGGCCTCGCCACAGGGGCCGAGGGACCACTGAACAGACTCCTGCTGCGGGCCGGGGGGACGTGATGGCCACAGTGAAGGGGGCACGCCAGCTCGGAAGGAGGGCACATCCGGCGCGGGTAGCTAGGGATAGTGAAGGTCACTCCGGAGAAAGGATGGCGTGTCGCCCTCTTTAGAGGATAACGTGAGGCTCTCGGTGATGAGGGTGAAACGAAGGATGCTGCAGTCGGGACCAGCCACAAAGGAGCGCAGACGGCGGCCCGGGATGGCATCCGGCGCTGGCCGCACCGTGGGAGTATTCGGGGTGTACTTGTCTTAAAAAATAAAAAGTATTTGCTCCCCGCCAAAAAAATATAAAGGTAACAATCCGAGAGAAAGCGTTAGAACATGACTGTCGCCAGGACGTTGGGTTCATAGACCCCGCTGATCTCCATAAGCTGCCGCCAAGGCCCCGAGAGCGACCCTTGTCCTGCACGAGCGGATGCCACCCCCCCAGGCCCCAGGAGAGCGGGCTGCCTTCGGGGGGGGGGGGCGCCACCCTGGAGCAGGTGCCCTGCGCCGGCCCTTTGCGGGGACAGAAGTTCTCGGAGATGATGGGAAATGGCAGCTCGGCTCCGGGAGCGGGACAGCGCGGGCCTGTCCTCGTCCCACCGGGCGGAGTCGGGATCCCGTGAGACAATAGCTCGAGGGCAGAGGCGGCCAGGCCGGGCCGC